ATCCATCAACAACTTGAAGAGCCCAAATGTTGTAGTCCACCTGATTCCCCCAACTCTAGCCTTCTGAGTTTCCTGACTTGGTTCTACGAGGCATTGGATAAGGATAAAAACTATGTTTCAGGAGTATTGAACTTCATAGCCAGAGCAGAACTGGAATGACAACAGCTTGATCCTTACCGCAGCAGTAGCACCTTCTTCACCGTCCTTCCCATCACTCATCTTCCTAGGTAGCTGGTTCTACAAGAGGGAAAGCGACAAGCCATTTCATTGCAAAAGAAAAAAGAAAGAAAGATCAGCCATAGCATTCACACTACATTTTTAAAAAGTGTCCTTTTTTACATACCCCACCGTAATTTGTATTAGGAGTCTTGTATTCTGTGGATATGTCTCAGCCGCTGGACTGGTGGTCAGCTGCCTTGGAACAGCGTATCTGGTGTTTTCCCCACAGCACTGGAAGGGCGCATGACTGTCATTTGACTGGTTTGGATGAGGGAGTGCCGTTATTTAAGGAAGCATTCCCACTTGCTCGCCCTCTTTCTTGTTCGGGCTTCCGAAAGGAGGATAAGGATCCCGCTTCCCAGCTTGCTTTTTCGCTGTGTCAGCTCTTTCTCATCAGAGAGGAGAGAAACGTTCGCTCCCTCCCTTGGTTACATCTTATATTTGTCATTGTTCTGGGTTAAATTAGTGTTGGCTGGCCTGCAGCAGGAATAGCTCTATGTGGAAGGGCACCCTGCTTGAGTTTCCAATGGTTGTTGGTCCAAGTCCCTCTTCTTTATTACTGCTTAATTAAGTTGTTATTTTTTTCCGTCGTCAACAGCTTTTTTAAAAACCTGAATAAATTTATTGATTTAAGCAGCAGCGCAAAGGGTTTTTGTTTGTTTAAATAGTTAAAAGTAATATAATTAAGAGAAGGTGTGGAGGTTTTTATAGCAGATAGTTGGAGCCTTTGTTTCGGCCGAGTTTATTTTAAAAGGAATATGGCGTAAGGGATTTTTGTTAAAAAAAACTGCCCGCCTCAATGTGGGCCTTTGTTTCGGCCTTAGTCATTTGAATACTACAAAGGAAGCGTGTTTAGAGTTGAACTGGAGTTATTATTTACCTGGGGGTTGCTTAGAGTTGGGATTTTGTATTTTGTATTTTTTCTTTTTGGTGCTGCTCTGCAGATTGTCAACCGGACGCCACTTTAGTTACAGATTTTCACGCCCTTCCCCCCCTCTTTCCCTCCCCGCCATTTTGAGCTACTAGTTGGCTGCCTTATAACCTAACAGGAAGGAAACCTTTGATAAAAAGAACATCATTCATATTGTTCAATATTCATTGCAGGATAGAATCAATTGCAGAATAAATAAGAGGGGTAATAGCAGTTATAGTTATACGGGCAAATTGATTGTAGGTGCAAATAGGAAATTCATTTTATTGTTGGATTAATATTAAGCATTTATAGAATTTATTTGTGCTCATCATTCTATAGATCACAATATACAAAAAAATTGATATGTTCTTGGCATAATGTTAGAAAAATTTACAATTGTAATCGACAATATATTATTTATAGAGCATATTACAACATCCAGGGCACTTATTTACAAGTGGTATTGTGCTAGTGTGATTCCTATTTTAATTTGTAGTTTTACTGTTTAACTTAAATTGGTAGCATTTGGGTGCAGACGTCATATCTTGTCTCCCTCTCTGCCATTTTGTGTTCGAATGCTTTAAGAATAAATATTAATTGGCAACTAATTAAATATGGTTAGATAGCTCATAGTGAACCTTGGGCCAAGTGTGACCTTGGGCCAATTTGGGTCATAATGGCTCCCACCAAGGGGATGGTATAATTATTTATACACTCCCACATAATGGGAGTGTTTTGGGCCAAAAAGCAGGGAAAACATTACTTATATAATCTGAATAGGAAAAGCACCTTAATAGCTATGTCCAACTGTACTCAATATTCACTTTAATAATCTCTAGCCTTCCTAAGTTTGGAGCACATTTTGTAAAGAATAAAGTCCCCAAATAGGGTGTAAATCCTCACTCCCCCCCTAACAAACAAACAGAATTAGCACATGTTTTCCCAGAAAGGGATGAGATTACTATTGTATTTCTGAATTTTACCCATTTACAAAATTTGTTTGTGGAAAATGTGCAAAAAATTGAAGCATGGTATTTTGTACAAAAGATGTTGCAGGGAATGCCAACTTTTCTTCCTATCAAGGATGATCAAAATGCAAATATTTGTTATCTCCTCATTCAAAAATCACACAGTAGACATATATAAAGACACAGAGAAAAACGGGGGGTGGTGTGTTTTGAAAGGATCGTTTTCTTTATTTGGGAAAATCTGTCACAACAGAAAGCTTAACTTGGTGAAATTCGTTCAAAATGAAATGATGGAAAGGTGGTGAATGTCCTGTAGTTTCTCACTGTAAAGGAAAAAAGGAACATTGATAACACAGCCAAAACACAGACAGTCCCAATTATTCACACACATTCCAAGTCAAGACCAGATCAAAACATCTTTGTTCCCCAGGGAAAACAACAAATGGCTGTGGAAGAGCACCAGGACTCAAGGTCTGCTGATTTATTATGGCACCAAGTATTTAAAAAAAACCCTGCAAACTTCCTTTCCCTGGTAGTAAAAACATGACAGGGATCATTCAAATGGCTGGTCAGAAGCTTTCCCCTTTGGTGACAATTCTAGGAGTTAAAATTCACAAAAGTAAGGTCTCCCATTCCTGGAATTCTGAGATTCTGCCAGTTATAGCTTGAAATTAATTATCAAATAATTAATTATGCCGGTGTAAGCCTATTCACATAAATTTCAGCTGCTAATTCCCACAAGGTAAGAAATCAGCCTAGGCTCTTCTTGTTACACTTGACATGTGCAACTTGAAGTTCTGAAATACAGTGATGCCTCGCAAGACAAATGCCTTGTGCAATGAAAAACTCACAAGACAAAAGTGTTTTGCAATTATTTTGGTGACTCGCAAGATGAATTTTTCTATGGCCGTGCTTCACAAGACAAATTTTTTTCAATGCATTCCTATGGGAAAATTCGCAAGGTGAAATTTTTGCAATAAAAAATGACTCGCGGAACGAATTACTTTCGTCTTGCGAGGCATCACTGTAGGTGCGCAATTAATCAATTAACTTTTTTTAATATTTTCATCTTGCGAGGCATCACTGTAAGTGCGCAATTAATCAATTAACTATTTTTTTAAAACAAAATTCATATTCTGGTAGCATTGCTTCATCCCCTGCGGTGAAGAAAAGACCAAAATGCTTATCCGATGGATAAAATAATGACTCTGTGGGACATCAACAAGGGCACAGACACTGGAGAATTTGCAGAAGGGTCCGATGGGGCCTGGCAACTTTTTGTGACAACATTGTGTAGCTACCCAAATCTTTCAAACAAGGAGTGACTAATACTCACAACAAACCAGGGATCATCGGCTCTGTTCTGGAAAACAAATTGGGGGGTGGGGGGGAGAGACACAGCAAAAATATATTATGCATGGCATGCTCATATTCATACATGGGTGTGTATAGCTGACTCAAATCAATAATTTCTGAGGTGCATCATAAATGCGGTTGGCTGGGTGAAAGCAACAGCTTGTTTCAATAAGGGTCCAAAAGAAATCTGGCCATCCTATACTGATGCATAGGGAATGTTTTGCTGCCATTGCTTTGCTGTTGGTATCAAATATTATTTTACACTGTGTAAACATTGTGGCCAAGCTATTGTGATATATATGAAGATAGATGGGAGAGAATTTCCTTTTGGTCACATTTCATACTGGACTTCTTGGTTTTTAAGATCATCTGGGGAGGTCTTTCTCTCTGCTCCATCACCTTCTCAAGCTTGGTGAGGATACGAGACTGGGCCTTCTCCGTGGTTGCTCCCAGGCTTTGGAATGCATTGCCTAGAGAAGCCAGGTTGGCCCCTTCCCTCTTTTCTTTCAACGGTTAGGCAAAGACTCTTCAGGCAGACATTTAAGTGGGAATTTATCTCAGGAATGCTGCTTTTTAACTTCAAGGTTTTGAAACGTTTTTGAATTGTTTTTAAGGTTGGTTTTTTAAAAATCTTAATAGATGTTAAATTGGTTTTTAAAAAATATATATACAGTGGTGCCTCACTTAGCGATTGCTTCGTTTAATTATGTATTCGCTTTACGATGGGTTTCTTTGAGGAATTTTCTGCATCGTTAATTTTTGGTGATTTTTTGTTTTCCCCATTGAACTCCATTGAAGGGACAGGTCAATGGAGTTCAATGGGGAAAACAAAAAATCACCAAACATTAACGAAGACTCAGAACAAAGCGAAATTAAGTTTGCACATGGTTCACAAGGTGGACTACCGAATCCAACCATTTAACACAGGTTTCAAACATTTTAGGACACTTAAAAATGAGCACAAACGGACATCGGAAAGTCATTCAAAAGACGGCTCCAAACATTTTAGATGGCTTTCCGTTGGGGGAAACATTGTTTCACTTAGCGATGTTTCCTATGGGGATTTTCGCTTAAGGACGGTAATCTGTTCCCATTGGAACGGATTAACCAGTTTTCAATGCATTCCTATGGGAAATGGTGTTTCGCTTAACGATGTTTTCACATAGCGATGGGGTTTTTGGAACCAATTAACATCGTTAAGCGAGGCACCACTGTACTATTTATATAGTGCACAACCAGGGAACAAGAGAGAAGGAAGCAATACTCTTTCAGGGGGTTGATTATGGGAGTTTATGCATTGTTTTCTGTTTGTTTTTTGCTGAAGTCCATGGAATTGTAATTTTTTTTTCCTGATCTGTAAGGCTCCGAAATATCATCTGTCAGGCGGAAAGAGAATCTTCAAATTTGAGAGGGTGTTTTTTGTGCAGAAGGCATGTATTTACACAAACCACACCAAGTACCTAGCAGAGCTAAGAAATGTCCTGCTTTGATGCACTGACATTTTGAAATCAGAAGCACCAGATGGCTTGTTTGCAGCTTTTAATCAGTCTGATCACCCTATTCCTGCTATGTGTGCCTTTATGTTTTGTTTTACAAAGGGGGGAAAAATAAATCTAGATTTGCACAGTTTTGTTTGCCACCTGTCTCCAAAAGGATCCAAAGAATTATTTTTGCCTAAATGGCAGAAAGCTCAAAGAACACAGCCTTGCCCTTATCATCTCATGGTCATGCTGAGGACAATAAATTTTGCAGAAATTGTGGACATTTCAACCGGCTATCTCGTCGTGTTGAGACATCTGGCCCCATGGAGAGCAAGCAACTTAGTTAGAACACTTTTCTGGGGGGGGGCTTGCTTTGTGAGGCAACAACTCCGGCATCCCAAACCCAATCTTTGCCAAATTTCCCATTTCCCTTATAGACTGCCTTCTCACAGTTTACTCTATCCCTTCAAGAATTTCTGCATAGCTGCTGGAACCTTAAACCAATTGGCCCGTTCCCTGGCCAGTGGGTGGCGCTTGGAAATATCTACGGTATCCTTGTACAAGCGGAAGACCCACTGAAGTGCTATTTGGAAGGCCCCAGTGGGCATAACACCACCCACTGTGCAGGAGGATCGTGGCCTTAAATCTGCAAAGGTGGTATTCCCCCCACCCAAAGGAAACAACAAATCTTTTAAAACAATTCAATCATTTTTTTTAATCTGAAAAAGACTGCACTGCAAAATACTTCACCCTTTTATTAAGGGCAAAGTTGTGGTTCCTCCTCCTCAACGATGACAATTAAGAGTTTTATCCCATTCTAGGACTAAGAACCACTGAACTCATTAGGACGTGAGATTTAATGTAAGCACCATGGTTTCTTTAAAAACTAGTAAATTAAATACTAAATTAATAAGATGAACTCAAGTAACTGGATTTTTGCCATTCAAGGGGGTTACTGGATCAGCGCCAACGAATTCCCTTTTAAACCTCAAGTCTCAAGCTCTCGTTCTAATCCCGGTCATGAGTAGCTATACTGAATGTAGGAACGCAACACTTGGTCCAGCAAGGATGGTTGTTGATACTTACTCGTCGTGCAGCTGCAAAGTTGTTCTGCAATACAAAACGACAAAGAACACAAATGGAACATGTAGATCCTTTACTAGTGGAGCACAAAACCTTCCTGTTTTGTATTGGCTTGCATTTTAAGTAGCAAAGAACCAAAATCATACAATTTCTAGTACCACCCTCTAAAGCTGCAATTTCTCCCTTGCTTTATTACTGCATCTTGGGACCACTGCCTAGTTATGGCCACCTCTATTTGAAGAGGAGTCAGAGAACGATCCTGTATCTCAAGGTATTCTTTATTCAAAGGAAATGTTCAGTCCCAGCTACAGCTCCCCATCAACCTCTACAGTAGACTGAGGGCTGGCCTAGAGAGTCCAGTTAGCATGTCGTTAGAAGCAGAGCTCACTTAAGATGCAAAAGATTGCTTATCCAAAGCCTTTTGCCTATGACAGTACTTGCCTCAAAGTGGTCAATTAGCTTGCTCTGCCATCAGGAGGCACACATGAACTTCATTTGCATGTCTGGTTGTTAGAAAATGGAGCTTTGAAAGAATTGCATGGCTGGAGAGAAAACATTCTAATAGCAGGAAATGCACATGTTTCTGTAATCTGACCTCAGGAATATGGTCAGTGTCTTCCCACTGTGCAGAGATACAACAGGGATCCCTCCAAGCAACCCTCCTATGGATGCCAAATAGTGCAGGTATAGAAACACTACATATAGCACAGTATCTGGTTCCCTCTAGTGGCAGGCTTTGGTAATACACCTTGGAAATGCATAGCTCTGGGGTTTTTTAATTTAATATTTTCCGGCAGTGGATAAGTGAAGCCTCCAGTGTTGGAATGCTCAGAACCTCCAGAGGTCATTATTTCCATTGTTGTTCTAACAGTTAGGAAGTTTTTCCTGATATCCAGCCTAAATCTGGCTTCCTGTAGCTTGAGCCTATTATTTAACCAAACGCCCCTCCATCGTTATGTGCTGTTAAACTCATGCATACTGATAACAGCATGGGTAGTACCAAAAACAATGACAAAAGACCCTGAATCAGCAGAAAGATTTGCTACTGCTTTAACACAGATGATTTTGGTCCAAGAAGGATTGCAGTGCTGGTTATTTTATAGAACAAAGTTCTGGAGGACACTTACCCCAATGCCATTGCCTTCGATAGTTGGGTTGCCTCCATCCCCAATATTAATTGAGTCACCCCTGTTCTGGAGAGGAGAAGAAAAAAAACATCTTGTTGAACTCATAACTGTAGGAACCCAAACAAAACAAACACACATATCTCCAAAAAACCTTCCTACAGCCAAGTCTGTATCAAAGGACATTATGGTTGCTGTTGTATAGTCGTTAAGTCATGTCCGACTCTTCATGACCCCATGGACCAGAGCACGCCAGGCCCTCCCATCTTCCACTGCCTCCCAGAGTTGGGTCAAAGTCATGTTGGTCCCTTCGATGACACTGTCCAATCATCTCGTCCTCTGTCGTCCCCTTCTCCTCTTGCCTTCACATTTTTACAACATCAGCGTCTTTTCCAGGGTAGACCCTCACAAATTTATTTATGTATTTATGTATCCGTTGCATTTTAATGCCACTAAGTAGGCTGGCTGGATGGCTCAGTGGTTTAGGTACCTGGTTGCAGAGCCAGAGGTTGGGAATTCCATTCCCCACTAGCCCTCCTGGGAGGAGAGACAGCCTGGGTGGCCATGGGCAAGCTGCACAGTCCCAGGGCACCCCCAGAAGAAGGGAAGGGTTGCCAGAATTCAGAATTGACTTGACAGCTGATGAAGGGAAGGGTTGCCAGAATTCAGAATTGGCTTGACAGCACACAATGAAGCCACTCAGTGTCCTTGAACAAATTCAGAGGTCCCTAAAGTCTCTCCCTGCTAAAATCTGTTCTTCTTCTACCCCCTCCTCATTCTTCCACATGGATAGCAAACCTGCATTTTGGGTGACTGGTACACATCCTGGCGTCTTTAAAAAATTAAGGTCACTTTCCTAGCCCAAGAGGGATTCCCCTCAAGGAACTTTTCTTCTTCTTAATACTGGGCTGGGGGTGTGTGTCTTTGTCCTCCCTCCATTTCGCACCCTGGGTCAGAAAGGAAAGGCTAAACTCTCTTGGATCCCATCGACTTGGTGATACTTACTCCCCATGAGGGTTGGAAGTTGTTCTGCAAATTGAAAAAGAACAGGCTCAGAATGAACAGTTAAGCCAAGCCATCGGCCAAAAAGAGGGTAGGGATTCTCCGGATACTCACCCCAATGCCATTGCCTGATATCTCAGGGCTACCTCCATTACCAACATTAATGCTGTCTCCATCCTGGAAAGGAAGAGAAAGAGATCATTCCTTGCAACTATTCAGGCACTTCATGAAAAGAGTTAATCTGAAAGCATAAGTAGAAAGTGCTGACCACACTTCCTGTTCCTGACTCCACGGGAAGAGAAAATATCTGAAAAGGAGATTTGTCTGCTGTGCCCGGAGCCTCCTCACATGACTGGAGGATCTTGATTGAGATTCTAACATGCACGGAGATGTTCCATGCACATTAGATTGTCTCCTCTTCACGGGAAGAGAAAATATCTGAAAAGGAGATTTATCTGCTGTGCCCAGAGCCTCTTCACATGACTAGGGGATCTTGATTGAGATTCTCAAGTGCACGGAGATGTTCCATGCATATTAATTGTCTCCTCCTCATTCTGTCCTTATTCAGATAGAGCTGGCAACAAGCAGGGAAGGGTGCTCGATGTTGGAGCTAAATTTGCAACCTCGCATGCAGCCTGTGGTCTGAGTGACTGGGAGGGACCTGTCTGGGCTGGGGTGACTGTCAATCTATCCACCATTTTACCAATTGTTCCTTCCTGCCTCTGAATTCAAAGAGATCCCCACTTCTCTGCTGAGGGCTTCTTTTCTCTCTCTCTTTAGTCTCTTGGTGTTGTTTGTTCATTTGCTGTTCCTCTGTTTGCAACTGTAAGTAAAGTTTTTTCTTCTTCTTTCTGTCTCCTACAAAGGCTCAGAGTGAATTATTGAGACTTTTAAGTGCCAGTTAATGAGAAAGAGGAGAACTTGTAGCTATTCTCTTCTTTTGAGTCTCTGTATTTCTACTACATTTTTTTTGAAAAAGGGAATTTTACCACAAATTTTAAATTCTGCAACACTAGAATGCTCTCCCTGCTGATATTTTCAGATCCACCCTTTTGAACACCTAAATAGGGGTTGTATTCCTGCCTGCCTGCCTGCCCAGTAAGAGTGATATTAGGCCAGTTTATCTAAAAATTCAGACCAAATGAAAGCCACACGTATCAAGCCTGGGAAGGCTTTTTCTTGTCTCACAAAAATTCAGTTATCCAGTGTGCATCGCAGAAGAGCTAGCCTGCGTGGCCTTGGACAAGGTGCACAGTTCGAGGATGGCCCAGAAAGAGGGAATGGTCAAACACTTCTGGGCGCTCTTGAAATCCCTAAAAACGGTCACCACGAATCAGAATTAACAGCTCACAAGGCATGTTCTCAATTGATGATGCATGCTTGCTGATACTTACAGGAGCAGCTGCAAAGTTATTCTGCAATTGAAAAAAAGAAAAGAAATGACATAAATTTTAAAAAATGTCTGCAGATATCTCCCTTGTGAAATCAACGTTTCACCAAAACCTTGCAACAGGCTTGAATGAGGTAGGGGGAAACGAGCATAAATGAATGTCTAGTCTTGTCATTGTGAATATTCTCGCTATTTATTATTGTGTATGGATTTTCTTCCTCTTGCTTTTGAATTTTAGATAGTCATACTGTATTTTTTGAAGGGGGAAGGAAAATCCAGTGAAAAGTCTGCTTTGATTTTAAACAGAAACCATTTTTCTACAGAGAAGAAGGCAATGCTGATCAGCAGGAAATGCAAGGAAGTTTGTCCCACACTCACCCCAATGCCATTGCCTTCAACAACAGGGTTGCCGCCATCCCCAATGCTAATGGTGTTGCCATTATTCTGGAAAGAAGTAGAAAGATCTGGTCATCCTATAATGAAAACTGGATAGCAATTAGCATTTCAATCCCAGTTTGATCATTACAATAAAAAAAATTGACCAAATGAAGTAAAGATTCATTCTGAAGCACCAGAAGAGGAAGGACACTCTGTTTCTAAAAGGTGGAAAATAATTTCATATATGAGTGTCCTTGTTATAGAAGTGGGTGGGAAACAAACTAATAAAAAGGAATGTTCTCCAAAAAGAGAGAGAGAGAGAGGTCATCTTGTATGACAGGACGAGCAGGATGGATCTTTCTTCCCTGATTTGATCAGGAACACCTCTGTCTTGTCTGGATTAATCTTCAGTTTCTTAGCCTTCATTCAGTCCATCACTGACAACGTGCATTGGTCTAAGCACAGAACAGCTTCCTTAGAGTCCAATGTCAAGGAGAGATGGTTGGCTGATGACACATTTGTGTGTCATCAACATACTGATGGCATGAAACCCAAAATCCTAGACACTCTCCCAGTGGTTCTAAGCAGATGTTGAATAACATGTGGGCAAGACTGAGTCCCAAGGGACACCACAGACCAGCGATCAAGATGTTGAACAGGATTACCCCAACACCATCTTCTGGGTTTGGCCATTCAGTAAGGATTGAAATCACTGTAAAACAGTATCTTCAAGACTCATTCCCAGAAAGGCACTCCTGAAGGACGCCATGGTCAATAGTGTTGAGAGATGCTAAGAGGTTCATCAGAAACAACAAAGACATACTTTCCCCTCTCCAGTTCCCAGTGTAGGTCGTCCAACATGGGCAACCCAAGCCAATATCCTGGCCTTAAACCAGATTGAAATGGATCTAGACAATCCACTTCATCCATGAACATCTGGTTCTGAGACACCACGAAACACTCCAAAACCAAGCTCAAAAATAGAATATTGGAGACTGGCCATATTATTCACTACAACAGGACAATGTGTTGCCTCCTTAAGGCATTCTAGTACCTTGCCTTGTTGAAAAGAGGCATTCACCACTCATCTTACCCTATTTGCCAGTCTCCCTCTGGCTGCTTTTATAAGCCAAGAAAGGCTAGGGTCCAGTGCACACGGGGTGGCTTCCACCTCTCCAAAGCTGCTGTCCACATCCTCAGAAAACAGGCCCTCCTGGAGTTTCCCTTGTACCACTTGTTTTATATACCGTATTTTTCCGTGTATAAGACAACCCTGAATTTTTAGTCTAAAGGTGTTAGACAAAAGTATAGTCTTATACACGGAAGTAAGCTGAGGAAAGAACAAAAATAAGTGGAGGGGGAAGCAGGGATCAAAGCCTTGCAGGATCACTTTGATCCCTGCTTCCCCCTCCACTTATTTTTGTTCTTTCCTCAGCTTACTTTCGTGTATAAGACAACCCTGAATTTTTAGTCTAAAGGTGTTAGACAAAAGTATAGTCTTATACACGGAAGTAAGCTGAGGAAAGAACAAAAATAAGTGGAGGGGGAAGCAGGGATCAAAGCCTTGCAGGATCACTTTGATCCCTGCTTTCCCCTCCACTTGCTAAGCCCCACTTAGATTTCTTAATTTTGGGTTAGAAAAGTGGGGGGCGTCTTATACATGGGGGCATCTTATACACAGAAAAATACGGTATATAGAACCAACTCTGAGGACTATTATATATATTTAAGGTGGATGGAGATAAGCCAGTCTCCCAAAACTCACACCAAGGGAACACCTAATATCAAAAGCAGCTCTGGTCATTCAGACACATTTAGTTTTGTTTTAAACCACCATCACCCAAACCCCACACAATCTTTGGACATTTTTTGTCATTTCTGAGCCTAGTGCAGCCCTCAGGAGGTGCTGGAGGCAAAAGGACTGGCTCAAAGCCTGCCACCATAACCTCCTCTGAGATAAATGGTGATGGTCAATGCATTAGGACAATGTTGAGTTTCATGGAACATGGAATCTCGGTAATACTTACTCTTGAACCAGGTTGAAAATTGTTCTGTAATTTTAAAAGAAGAGTAAGAATTAGACGTAAGAAACTTCTTAAAAATGTGGGTGCCTATCCTGCTGGGGATTTCTGCCTGCAGAATTAAAGTCACCAACTAGCACACACAATGTCTGTCAGGTTTTACAAGGAGAGCACACATGTTCCTTTGTTTCAAAGTTATAAAAGTAAATAAAAACAGAAGTCCAGACAGATCCAATTAATGGCCAAAACAAAATTCTCCTCAACTACCACAGGACTCTCTGATTTCTCCATTTCTGCCTATTATGTCTGGAAGTACTTTCCAGAAACCTTTGTAGTCCCCCCTTTGCTCCTTCTCAGCTTTTCAATCCCTTCTCAAAATCATCTTTCCCATAAAGCTTATAACAGCCTTAGTCAAAAACCTGGCTAATGTACAATTAAACTTAGGCTGAAATCCGGCTGCATGGTTATGAAAATGATGTACCTTTTAGATGTGAATTGCGGTGGTTAAGAAATCTCTGTAGCCATGATCAGTTGTATGTCAAGTCGTGCGAATGTGTAGGCAACAGAATGTCTACAGAGATGTCTTAACTTATGGCCATTTGCATCAACACATTATGCTGTTTGCATAACTGCACAACAGGATTTTAGCCACTGTTTATATTCTTCCTCTTTGTCCCATGCTTGCTGTTTATATTTCATCTTCCTGCCCTAAAACCTCTCATTGAGAACTGTCCTTCTAATCCATATTCAGAAAAGCAACGCCCACATCAACACCCTTGAGTAATACCACATAGAGGAAATAGAACAATCTGCTTAATACTTTGCTGCAGTCTGAACAATAGGCCATTTCCACAATTAGCAGAGATTCAACAAATATATCTATGTACAGAACACAATGAAATTCTGCCTACTTACCCCTATGCCATTGCCTTCTATAACAGGGCTACCTCCACCACCAACACTAATGGTATCTCCACCCTGAAAAGGAACAAAAAGAACCAATAACTCATCTGTGGTAACTATAGTCAAGCTTTCATAAGGTAAAGGTAAAGGTTCCCCTTGACCGACTCGTGTCTGACTCATCCCCATTTTCAAGCCACAGAGCCAGCATTTTGTCTGTAGACAGTTTCCATGGTCACGTGGCCAGCGTGACTCGACACGGAAAGCCATGACCTTCCCACCGAGGTGGTACCTATTTATCTATTAGCATTTTACATGCTTTTGGATGGCTAGGTTGGCGGGAGCTGGGACAAGCGACGGGAGCTCCCTCCGTCGCGTGGGTTAGATCTTACAACTGCTGGTCTTCCGACCTTGCAGCACAGAGGCTTCTGCAGTTTAACCTGCACTGCCACCACATCCCCAGCTTTCATAGTAGCACATAAATAGGGCAACTTGACTTAAAAAGGCAGAACTAACTAAATTCTACCTAATGTCTAAGTTTTAGCCTGGAAACATTTTGCAACAAGACTCTGGATTAAACTCCATTTTGAGCATTTTTTGGGATAGAAGGGTGACCAAATATGTGGGGAACATTAGGGGAGGAAATACGTCAAAGTGGCTTAAATGAGAAGGGTGAGGAAAAGAAAAATAGTAGAAATTTCACCTCAGAAAAATGCAACCTGAGAAATTTCCATCTGAGTCTATTTTTTACCTGCTTTCTGTTCTCAAAGGGACGGCTAGCATGCCTTCCACCTTTCAGATGCTGGATCTGTTTTTAACCACCTCATAGGAATTTACTGTTTTTGAAGACTATTTGAACCAGAGTAGTATTGATATGAAATATATTATATCAATACTGGGCTCAATAAATCCAGTGCGCTGACTGATACTTACTGGAGCAGCTGCAAAGTTGTTCTGCAATTGAAAAAGGAAGACAGAATAGGCATTACAAGGGTCACTGGAAATCACACATACCCGATACTCTTTCAAGCAGCAGAAGGGAAGGTAAAGGAAGGATGAATTTCCTTTTCCTTTACAGAGCTCATTCATGACAAAACAATGATCCCCTCTTCCCTCAAATTACTTTACTCTTTCTGTGTTGCAACCAGGAAAGATCTCCTTGAAAACCTTTCCAACGCACACTCTACCCCTGTTCAGGCCAGAAAGCATTTGGGGCTCAAAAGGCCCTACCAGCTAGAAGTCAACCAGATCTTCTTGCTTTTAGTTCGAATGTTACAGAGCTCATTCATGACAAAACAATGATCCCCTCTTCCCTCAAATTACTTTACTCTTTCTGTGTTGCAACCAGGAAAGATCTCCTTGAAAACCTTTCCAACGCACACTCTACCCCTGTTCAGGCCAGAAAGCATTTGAGGCTCAAAAGGCCCTACCAGCTAGAAGTCAACCAGATCTTCTTGCTTTTAGTTCAAATGTCTGTTGTTGCTGCTGTTGTTGTTGTTGTTGTTGTTGTTTAGTTGTTTAGTTGTGTCCGACTCTTCGTGACCCCCATGGACCAGAGCACGCCAGGCCGTCCTGTCTATCACTGCCTCAGAGATCTGTAGAAGACCTTAAAGTATGTTCAGAACACCTATGATCAAGAGCCCTGCCTTATAATTGTCCTCACACTTCAATTAAGCCCTCTTATGTCTGAATAGGGCTTTTCTCCCCCTCACTTCACATTCACCTGCACACCTGTCCTTCTTGCAGCATGTACAACCAAAATACAGTGTTGCCTTGCAAGACAAAAATAATTCATTCTGTGAATCATTTCGTATTGTGAAAATTTCACCTTGCGAAGCACGGTTTCCCATAGATATGCATTGAAATTTGATTAATGTGTTCCTATTCGTCTTGCGAAGCACAGCCATAGAAAAATTTGTCTCGCGAGTCACCAAAAAATCCCAAAATGCTTTCGTCTTGCGAGTTTTTTGTTGCACAAGGCATTCGTCTTGAGAGGCATCACTATAATGAGTGGAAATATCCACTAAACCATGTTCTAGCCATTCAGCATTTTTCTACTATTTTTTCTCACCTATTCCCTGTCATTCATTCTCATCTACTCTCTGAAAATTATCATTTATTCTCTCTCAAGGTGTTTGAACTTGATTTCCATTCAGCTGCCCTCAAATCAAATGTATGGGGGCTCTGAGTCAATTAGACCTCAGGTGAAGACATTTTGTTATGCCCCCAAAGAAAAAGGAAAAACTGACAACATGCCTGTTCCTTTCTAAAAGGAGAAAGCATTTTTCCACACTCAAAAATACAGTGCTGAACCACACAATATACAAAGGAGTTCTGGATATTTACCCCAATGCCATTGCCTCCTATGACCGGGCTGCCCCCATCGCCAATATTAATTCTGTTGCCATCATTCTGGAAAGGATCATAAAGAGCTGGTCAATGAGATAACTGTGAAAAGGGAGGCCCAGTCTACATATTTATCCAGATCAAGTGAGTTTTCTTTTATAGGTCAACCAAATGAAATAATCAGTCCCTTGTACTTTGACAGCCTGGACACCATTTTTAACCATCCCACCTGAGCTTCATTCTGGGCCATGACGGATTGTGGTCCCTAAAAATAGGAGGGGTTAGAGCTGGTCAATGAGATAACTGTGAAAAGGGAGGCCCAATCTACATATTTCTCCAGATCAAGTGAGTTTTCTTTTACAGGTCAACCAAATGAAATCTGTCCCTTGTATTTTGACAGCCTGGACACCATTTCGAACCACCCACCTGAGCTTCATTCTGGACCATGAAGGATCATGGTCCCTAAAAATAGGATGAGTGTTGGGGATTTGGGAATGAGATAACTGTGAAAAGGGAGGCCCAATCTACATATTTCTCCAGATCAAGTGAGTTTTCTTTTACAGGTCAACCAAATGAAATCTGTCCCTTGTATTTTGACAGCCTGGACACCATTTCGAACCACCCACCTGAGCTTCATTCTGGACCATGAAGGATCATGGTCCCTAAAAATAGGATGAGTGTTGGGGATTTGGGGATGGAAAGAAAAGAAAATGCATGTTTTCAGATCTTCTCAGCAAATGTCTCGTGAGAGATTTGGGCTCCAGGCGACCTTGGGCCTTCTTTCGACGCTAAAGTGATGGTCAAGCCATTCTTTTTTCTGCTAACCTTAGTACTACCATTACTAACACCTCAAGGAGTTTGTTGAGGTTATTTGGGTCCAAGAAGTGGTACATACAGCATATACCAAGGCAGGACTTGATGCATCGTACATGCTTCCTGATACTTACTCCAGAAGCTGGATTGAAATTGTTCTGCAATGTAAAAAGGTTGGGAGAAAAGGAGTTAAAAACACCTACAAACACATAACATTCCATAACTTCCATTCATGTTCTGTTTTTTTCCTTACAAAGGACAAACTTATACCCATCCCTCCAGAGGAAGAGCACTGTGCTGTATAGATCTCATTCAAGGCCAAACAGAGGTCTTCTCCTCACAGACTCTACCATTCTACCATGACCTTCTTGCATAGCATTTTATTGTAGCATCTCTTTTCCTTCACATTCCTCTCCAAAATGTCAATTTTCTCCAAGATCTGGGCCTCCTCTACTCAAAACCGGAGTGCAAGTATTAAGCGGAACCTATTTTCCTGCTACTTAGGCGTTCATTCCCACCTTTGGATCCCACATTTACATGCTTGTGCATAACTAAGAGATATAGGTCTATCCTTGTCGGGTTTTGGGATAAGAATCATTAATAAGCATTTCCAAGAAGGTGGCATTATCTCTCCTACCAATATTCTATTATAAAACATTTTTAGCTTAGGTATCAAAATGAAACTAAGATGTTTATAATATTCTGGACCCAATCCATCAGGGCCTGGTGTTTTACCATTTCTCAGTTTATTAATGACTTCAGCAATTTCTTCTTCTTTAATCTCTTCTTCTAATATTCTTTTATCACATTCCAATAATTTAGTTTTAAAATATAATTTTCTATATTCTCTTCCAGGACATTGTTTCCTTTCTGTAATTTCTGATAAAATTCTTGAAAAATCTTCAGTTTATCTTTCATTATATTACACTTCTTACCTGTTCTATCTTTAATTACCCCATTCATGTTTTTAATCTTCTATTTTTGCACATTCTAGCTAACAATTTTGAATTTTTATTGCTAAACTAAAAAAAATTCCTCTTTATATACAAATCCCTCTGAACTTTTTCTATCTCTAAGTTTTCTAGTTCCTTTCTCTTTGCCTGAATTTCTGCCAATATTCTTCTATCTCTTTATGAAAAAAAACCCTTGTTTTCCAAATTTCTCAATTCTTCTTCCAATTTTTCCACATTTATCTCCTTATTTTTTTAGTTTACAGGATTCCCTTATTGTTATTCCTCTTGAAATTCCTTTTATCATGTGCCACAAATTCCTTTCCATTGTATTAGGTAAAGCATCACAACATTTAAAGGTGTATACAACTTCTTGAGGTAAAGGGAGGGGGATTTGATAAAATACAGATGTTCATGTGTTTAAGGCAGATCATTTCTGAGAAATTATGAGTTGGCTCAAATAGCAGTTGCCTCGAATCCTATAGAGTTCAACTTACCCCAATGCCATTGCCTTCTATAACAGGGCTGCCTCCATCACCGACACTAATGCTGTCTCCTCCCTTAAAAAGAACAGAAACTGCGGTAACAATGGGTGGAAAACAACAACACACATAAACCTATGCTGTGACTTGTCTCTTAGCTCTTGAATGGGCCAATTCACTGAAAAAATACAGATCAAACATAATTCTTCTCACTCTCCATCTGATAATCTGGCCATGACTTTGTAATCGCCTTGCATTAAATTATTTTGAGACTGCACGGGTACCTGCCCACAAAAGGATGATCAATATGGGCAAAAATACTTGACTGGAATGGTTAGTGGGTTTTCAAAGGTGTACTTCTATCAAGGAAAAAAAAAATTCCATCCTTCTAAGGCTTTCAATAGCTTTCAACGATGTTTTCGGGGTTATTTTTTAGGGTTTTTTTAAAAGCCTATTTGACCTGAACTACTGAAAAATGTTTCAAAGC